CTTATGTTTCAATTTTTCATTCACTTATTTGTTCATTTATCCAATCAGTGAATATTTATTAATCTCTTACTAGGTGCCAGGCATGTTCCAAGAGCTAAGGATACAGTCGTGAACAGAAGAAAGCCTGTGCCCCCAATGAGCTTATGAGAGTGAGGAATAATAAGTACATATTAAAAGGCAATCTATAGTATGTCAGATAGTGATGAGTTCTAAGGAGAACATAAATCAGAGTAAAGGTATTGAGAATGCAGGAGGCAGGAAGGGAGTTGTTGCAAATTTAAAGAGAGTAATGGAGGAGAACTCTCTGAGAAGATGACACTTGTGTAGAGACCAGAATGAAGCAAAGGTGTAAGCCTTGGAGATTTCTCGGTTACATAATTCCAGGCATGTGGGAACAGTAAGTGCATAGGCCCTGAGGCAGTCCAGTGTTTGGCATGAATCAGAATAAGGAGGAGGTCATGTGGATGGAATAAAGAGTAGCTTTAGAAGGTCAGATAAATGGTAAGGCGCTAAATCATGAAGGATGTTTTAGGACATTGTAAGGATTTTGACCTTTCAGTGAGATGAGAAGTTGATAGATGATATCAAGCAGATGATGTTCAGCAGACATAATTTGGCTGTGGTCTTAAAAGGATCACTCTGGCTGCTGGGTTGGGAAGTTTCCCTCAAATCATATATGTATATACCAGGTTCTGTAGGGTTGGAACACTGGATCTGAGAAAGGAAGCACCAGGGTGATGACGATGGTAAGGGAGAAAAAGAGTTCATTCTTTCACTCATCCAAAACATATTTACTGGGCTTGTATTATATGTCAGGAAGCAAAAATAGATATACTCACTTTTCTTGTACATTATGTACATTTGGGAGACAGTAGGAGGCAAAGGCAGAAGTGGAGCTCTAGTTAGAAGACTATTACAAAATTCCAGGCAGTGGTTGGTAGTGACTTAAACCAGATGGTCATGGTGGAGCTGGTGAAAAGTCAACAGATTCTGAATATGTTTTGAAGGCCAATTTGTAGGGGGTTTTATGTTGTTGTTTGTTTTTTGTTTTTTTAAATTTTATTTTATTTTGTCAATATACAATGTGGTTGATTATTGTGGCCCATTAGTTTTATGTTGTTGTTTGTTTTTTGTTTTTTTAAATTTTACTTTATTTTGTCAATATACAATGTGGTTGATTATTGTGGCCCATTACTAAAACCTCCCTCCAAGTTGTAGGTTTTGTTGATACATTAGATGTAGGAGGTAAGAAAAAGAGGAGAGTTAAACATAACTATAAGGTGTTTGGCCTGAGAAACAGGATCAATGGAGTTGCTATTTACAAATCTGGGGAAAATCATGGGAGGATCAGATTTGGGGGCAAATCAAGAGTTCAATTTAGGTTATGCTTAGTTTGAGATCCTTTTTAGACATCCAAGAGGAGAAATCATTAATAGGCAGTTAAATATATATCTAGAATTCAGGAGAAAGGTTTGGGCTCGAGAAACACATTGGGAGTTGGCAGAGTATAGATGGAATCCAAAGGCACTAGGAAGCAAATGTAGAGAAGTCTGAGGATGCAGACCTCATTCATTGCCCCATCACTCCTGGACAGAGTACTAAAGAGTGTAAAAGGAAATAGAGAGGAAAAGGCTAGAGAATCCAGAAACAGTACAAATCATTCATTCGTTCAGCGGATATTTATGAGCATCTGCTACTTGCCAGAAATTCTGCTAGCCATTGGGAAAACAACATGGTAGACCAGGCACAGACGGTGCCTTCAAATAGTTCACATTCATCAAGATGAACACTCAATGACAGGAATAGAGATAAACTATGGTACATATTTTTGAACAGCAATGAAGAGGAGTAGCAAAGTAACAGTGGAATTATGACACTAATTCCAAGGTCTGAAGAGGAAAGGAAACTGTCTTTAATCTCTATCTGCCTCCAGCAAAGACAAGCCAGACCAGTGGGAATTCTGCACAGCAAGATAACAGAAAACACAAATTAGAAGAGAAGAAAAAAGTAAGATTGTGGAGTGGGATGGGGGAGATAGGAACCAACAGAGACTGAATAGTGCCATCTCTAGCATAAAATAGCTTATACTTGGCTGATAACTTCAGTCAACTTCGAAATGTCCAGAGCACACAAAGGCCTATATCTTATCTTAAAAGACAGGTTTCATTATGTCATGCAAATACCTCTTAATGAAACAACAGTTTCACTAATTAGGATTGCATTCTAATGAAACTTTCAATTGTATTTTTCAATTCAACTACAAATTGCCCAGGATGTTACATACTTTCTTTCTTAAAAGCAACACTGAAGCAAAAAATGCTACAGGAATTTTAAAATGAGTAAAGAGAAGAAGGAAGAGAAGAAGGAAGAAAATAGCTTTTTAATGTACAGTATAACTCAAGAGTTATTTTGGGAGGGACTACCATGTGGATGCTATAAGAAAAGGGTAAGAGTTACAAAGTTTTGTTACTGCACCCTATCTGGGTTCACAGTTCATAGGTGGGTTAAAAGGGCAGGAATGACTTCAGCACAGTCTCTAGAACCTGGTTGGATCAGGAATTTGATTTTGATGCAACCTTTGCTACCTAAAACACTTTCCTTGAACCCTGTTATTTAATAAGCTTGGCATCAAATCTTATGTATTCTTTTGACTTATTTTGAAAAAATACCTACAGTTAAGTTGGGGAGTCATTTCAGTTCTATCACTTTTCTTGCAGCTTTACCCATGGATGCCAAAATATGGAGTAATTCATATCAGTGTCATATGAGTTAGATAGGCCATATATATTAGTTATATGACCATGATATGAATTACTCTATATTTTGACATCATTCATGGGTAAAGTTCACACTCTAGGGTGTAAGATTAGTTGTTGGGGTGGGGGGAAGTTTCCCCCAAATCATATATATGTGTGTACTGGTAACCCTAAGTCTCTGGATGGAGGAAGAATGAGAACATGACTTTACTAACTTACGTTTGAGGACTTACTAATCCTGGGACATGATTATCCCACAGAGAGTTGGAAATCTGGAGCTGAAAATGGAAACACCAGGGTGATGACGATGGTGACGGAGAATAAGAGCTCACTCATTCACCCATCCAAAACATTTATTGGGCTCTTATCATATACCAGGAACTGTAATAAAATCTGCAGATAAATAATGAGCTAAATCCAGCATGTTTCCCCCTCCGATGGAGTTTACAACCTAAAGCAGTGGTTTTTAAAATGGGTACGTGCACCCCAGGGAGTGAGTGAGATGACGCAGTCAGGAAACAACTACAATGCAGAGTGGTAAATGCTCTAATGGAAACCAAGACACGTGGATCAACTAAGAGCTATGTGAAAAGACATCCTTAGTGGGGTGGGAAGAAAATATTAGAACTTTATATTTTTATCTTAAAATAAGAAAAATCACTTAATATTTAATGCATAATTTGACAGTTATATAAATGAATAATTAAAAATAAATACAGACATTTTGGTAGGTTCGGCTTAAAATATTTTATTGATAGGTAAGAAAAATAAAGACAAGTGTGGTGGAAAAACTTAAGATTTTTGGAATCTCAAGTTAAACTTGAAACTTTTAAAACCTGGAAAGACAGAACTTAGGGTGACGGAGAGATGAAACAGTTCTGGCTGTGGGCTGCAGGTAGAGGAGTGAAGAATAAAGGAGATACTTGACCAAAATCTTCCATGCCACCAGCAAATGCTTTTCACATGTCCCTTAAAAGAAAGTTCTTAGTAAATCTGTGTCTCTTGGTTTTCACTGGAGCATTTACCTCTCTGTACTGTAGAGGTTTCCTGACCGTACCATTTTACAGGCAGAGAGGATCCTTTAAGTTTTTTATTTTTATTTTATTTTTTTATTTCTAACACCTAGCATGGTAACCAGCAAATTGAAGTCATTCAGTGTTTGTGGAATTGAATGGCAATTGACTTTTAACAAGCTCAATTATTTGTGTATATTTTAATACCCTAATTTGTATGTATTTTGTACCGTATTCCTATTGGAATGGCCCAGTGCCTGGAACACAGCCAGCCCATGATAAACATTACACTGTAAATACATAGAAGAATAAATTTTCCTACATTACATGGTTGACTGTGTTGGGCTGATGGACATGGAGTAGTAAAAATATAACAAGAGGAGAACACAAGGAAAGGCTAAATTTCTGGGGCTTGAAATGGGGAAACTGTAGATAACTGTTTGGATAATGAAGGCCTTAAATTATCCAAGTACCAACGAAAAACAGCAAGGATCTTCTATTTGTGCCACAAGCCCCTTTTGTCTTAACTGCTTTAATTTGCCTGGCTGAAAAGACTTACTCCACCATCTTTCCTCCTTTTACAAACCTTTGGAATAATTTCTAGAGTAGAAATGGAGCTGGTAATGACCTCTAAAGAAAAATCAGAATCCCTATGAAAAATACATGGTAAATCTATCATAAGGGAGTTAAAGTTATAACAACAGGTTTGACTGACATTTCTGTCGTATCTCATTTCTGCTGTATCTCATTCAACTGCAGACTTTCGCTCCGGTGGTCTCCTCTCCGTAGGCATTTAACCCTTTCAGCTAAAACCAAGAACTGTATCCCTTTCAGAATCATAGGGGAGGCCGTTAGGCGGGTGGGCTGGTGCCGCCCAAATGCGGCCACAGAATCCTGCCAGACTTGGCATTAAAAGAATCCGAGTTCAGGGCATAAGGAACTTCACTGCTGCTATTGCGCAGCCTCTGCGCTCCACGCAGGCTTATTAGGAAGAAAGGGGAAAAAATTGCCAGACACGTGAACCAGAGGGGACCAACCCAGGTCGCGGCTCCCCACTGCATCGGATTCTGGAATTTACAATCACGAAAGTTCTATTGTCCGGCGATTGGCTCCGGGGCCGCATGACATCATAGCGTTTGATTCAGCCTTCGGGCCCCGATTGGCTGGCCGCGCCATTGTGACGTCACGGTCAGCCCACGTTCTGATTGTAGATACCCGGCGCCTTCCTCTTCCCATCGCGGCGGTTCCTCGTTACCGGTTCTTTCGTACCACATCCTCCTCTGCTCTGGTTGACCACGGGCGCTCCTGCCGCCGCCGCCGCCGCCGCCTTGCTGCTTCTCAAAGCTGCCGCCGCCCCTGGGGCCAAGAGGTAAGCCGTCAGCTTCAGGAAACTTAGCCTGGGGCCGCTGCTCGGCCATGACACCCGCGCGAGCGCGCGGCCGGAATGAACTGCCGTCAGGTCTGGGACCTGGTGCGGAGCAATAGCTGCCGGCGCGGCCCGCCCTCCGTCCGCGCGCCCGAGGATCGGCGCGGCCCGCGGCCGCAAGCCCTGCCGGCTCCTGGGGCACGGATCGTATAACTTCGCATAAAGTATGCTATACGAAGTTATGCGAGTGATGAGAGTGGGCATCCTTGTCTAGATCCTGTTCTTAAGAAGGACTGTACATTTTAAATGGGTGACAGACTGGACACGGAATGGGTGGGTTTGTGCGCTCGTGTCCTCCCGCCCTGTCGGGATGAACTCGCGGGTGGGAGGTCCGGGAGCGCCCTCGGAGTCAGAACTTTCTTTAGGAGGTGGCGGGGGGGGTGGAAAGGGGGGAACAAAACCTGGGTCAGTTCGGAGACCCTGTGCGGAGTCGCGGGTCGGGTGGACACCGGCCACCGGAGCTTGCGGAGCTAGCGGTGCGGGGAAGCTTCGGCCTTTTCTATTTTTCCTCTTCATCCCGCCTCCGCCCCTCGGAGGGAAGCCTGCAGCCCGGGACCACGTCGGTTTTTATTAAAACCAGATAACTGCAGTCCTCGGTACTTGGGAAGGGATGAGGCCGGTGGAAAGCGAGGGGGCGGGGACTCGAGGGCTACCAGGGCGTCCCTTTTAGGGAGTCTGGGCGCAGGAGAGGCGGGAGCAGCCCTGGGCCGGGGGAGTCGTAGGGTGCGTTGTGTTGTGAGTTGTAAGGAAAAGTGTCCTTTTACAGTTTCCACGCCGGTAAGATTTCCTCCTCTCCACCTAGGGGGAGAGGGAGTAGTGCCCAGAGCAAGAGGTATTCTTTTTGAACTGTCTTGCAACCGTTCCGCGCTCTTGCACTTGGTGGTTTCCCACCCGCACGATTGATTGAGTTAAGCTCATCTGCCGACTCCTCAATTGCAAATTTGGAGAATGCATTTGGCCAAGTTTTGCAACGAGAGAATGGAAGGGGACGGAATCCAGTGCGTGACTTATTAGCTGAGCTGGGGAACCGAGAGGTGGGGAATTGTGAGGAGCGAGCAACATTATTTTTTAAAATAGCGGGACCAGAGGCAGGAAGTGCTTTATAGAGCTGTACGGAAGAGCTGGTGTTGCTTGTTAGGTTTTGTAACTCGTTCCCCTAACCACTTGGCGGCTGGGAAACCGAGAGGTGGGGAATTGTGAGGAGCGAGCAACATTATTTTTTAAAATAGCGGGACCAGAGGCAGGAAGTGCTTTATAGGGCTGTACGGAAGAGCTGGTGTTGCTTGTTAGGTTTTGTAACTCGTTCCCCTAACCACTTGGCAGATAAACTGTTGGTCTGCACTTGTTTTGCTTGCACGTCTCAGCCAACAGCATTTGGGCAGAATCTACAGATACAGACAGCGGTTTTCCATTAGATGGCTGTGGACAAACACTTTAGCTTTCCCATCTGTGGCTGGGGACAAGTGGATCACATATTTGGTCAGCTCAGGTCATTGCCTGGGATTATCAAGGAAAGCTCTGCACTTGACAGAAAAATGTTGATCATTTTCCTTTTAGATTCGTATTTCAGATTATAACTTCTCATTGCCAAGAACTTTTTCTGGACTGTTTCTCTTTTCGCATTTTCTTTTCTCTTCCTTTTCTAACTGAAGACAAAAGGGAAAATGTTATTGATGTTTACAGACGGGTAATTTTACAGAACATAGGATAGAATTTTGCTGAAAAGTGAAAGTAGAGAGCATATTAAAATTTTTGTCAGATTTTTCAAGAAAAGTATCTCATAACTTCAGACACTGTCCTCACTCCCCTGACTCAATTTCCTTGTCTGTAAATGGGCGTTTTACATGGCAGAATTATTATGGATTTCAAGAGATAATACAAATGAAAAGCGCCCAGGATGGCGTTTGCCAAATGGTGATTTGATAAATGTTTCCTTCTCATTCCCTGGGATCAACAGAGCTTCTTTTTGGTTAGAGGCCTTAATTTTTGGATGTTTGATGTTTGCAAGAGTCTTTTTTTCTTTACTTCCTCTCTTGTTCTCGGCATAATTATTGCTTATCTTCCTGCTTCTAGAGGTTAGCATCTATCCTTGGGTCTCTTATTTCCAACTTGAATTATACAAATACCAAGGCGAAACTGTTTACCTTCCTTTAAAGTAACGTTGTGCCTAAGTAGATAATAGAGTGTGAGTAGATAGTTTTACCTCTTTTTCTCCTGGCCACATCCTTATTCTCCTTTAAGAAACTTGTAATTTGTTTGGATTTCTATTCTCTGCCTACCAGTTCTTGCTGCCAATGGGGTAATACTCCCATTATTTACCCACAATAAGTCTTTCTTTGCATGCATTCCATTTCAGGTACTATTGATGTGAACATCTACCTATTAATGGTTTCTTTCCGCACATAAGACTTACAACATTCTTTTGAAGTTTTATCCCCCACCTTTTTTTTTTTTAAAGAATTGAGAACTAAGGCCTAAAGATGCCAAGTGACTGGTGCAAATTCACATAGCTCTGTCTCCTGCAACATAACTATTCCTTCATCTATCCTTATATGGTACTGTTAGTATTATTTGTCCAGTGGGCTATGTGTCATTTATGTAACTCTGTTACTCCGTAATTTAAAAATCTACCCTTGTGCCAAAAGGTCCATCTTAAGCCCTCCAAGATTAACAATTTGTCATTTCTCAAATCTGCCTAAAATCTGTTCCCTTCCTTTTAGCCCGTACTTGATTTGTTCTTTCTATTAATTCATTGACTTGTTATTGAGTGTGTATTTAATGTGTGTGAGTGGGGGGGAGGTTGTATACAAAGGTGAATAACAGTTCCTGATTCCAAAGGGCTTCTGATTTAGTTTACACTTTAAGGCTTATACACCCATATTTAATATACTCCTTGGACCAAAAGGAAAGTCAGAAACAGATTTCTGGGGGACTTGTCTACCTATATCTGGGAAAGCTTTATGGCAGAACTATCCATGTTAGACATATCAGTGCGCAGCACTGCTGAATTGGTTAGGATGCCTTCAGTTCAATAAAGAGAAAACCTAACTCAGAGAGGCTTAACCACCCACCTGACCTGGAAAGGGTAGGACTTTTGCTTCATTTCTGTGAAGTCTTCTCAGGTGTTGGTTATGTCCTTAGGCTGATTTTGCCAGAAGACTGCCAGCAACTGCCACCATAGTCACACATGGGGACTTCCCTTCCCCTCACCATCCAAAGAGAGTTTTGGCCTTGAGGTGATTGATGTAGGCCTTGGTTTCTTGAAGCAGTAATTGGCACAGTGGAAGTCTGATAACCTGGGGCTCATCCCAGAAAGGGGGAAGTGGGGCAAAATGTCACCTCACCTTGCTGACTGCTACACCTTTAGGGAAGGCTGACATAAACAAGAGGAAGTCAGTTGCAATGTCTATTTGTAAGCACCTTCAGGATGTCAGTACTAAACAGATAATTGGATTTAAACTAAATTGAATTTAATCAGCATTTAAATTTAGGAGGACATGCCTTGTAGGCAAGAGGGAGCTTGGAGAGCAAACAAGTGTGGAATCATTGCAGTTGGCCGAAGCTGATAGAGAGGGCAGAAGTGGAAGAAAAGGTTAGAAAGGCAAGTTATTGACGTAATAATAATGACTGACTTTTATTGAGCTATTATGTGTCATATCCTGCATTGAGTGCTTCTCAGGGGCTTATCTCAATTATTATCAATTGGTACTCAAGCATTCCCACTTTACAGGTGAAGAAATTGAGGCTCAGAGAAATTTAGGCACTTAAGCATTCCAGCTCAGATGGTCTCAAACACCCCCTAGCTTGCCTTCCTCTCTCCTGAGGAATTAGGAGTGCATTATGACTGCTGTGCTCCAGAAATATGAGTCTTATCAGAGTGCTGGATTGGCATGGACAGAGGCTAGGAGTGTGGAGAGAGGGTCTAGGAGGCTATTAGAGGTGGCCAGATCAGTGATAAAGCCTGACCTGGAGCCACAGCCAGGAACACAAACTGGAGAGAGCTGATTGGAGGAGATTGTGTCCTGGATAGGACCTGGAGACCAATTGGATTTGAGGGCCAGCACATGGAAGGGTGCTTTAAGACTGGGTGGTTAAAGAAATGTGCTATAATAAGGAGAGAAGGAAGGTCTGTAACCAGATGGAAATATCCTAACAGCCCAGGTAGATATCCACACAAGCCATTTCTTCCCATCAAGTCCAGATTCCTCCTCTTCATGGTCAACCCTTTTTTTGTTGTTGTTGCCCTTCTGCAGGTACATTTCCACAACATTTTATCCATTTTCAGACCCAGTTTTTCTCATTTTTAATATCTGGGTAGAGATGCAGCATATAATCAGTGGCATTTTAAAATCACTGCAGGCAGTTTCCCACCTTTTAATATTACTGAAATCGGAATGCTTCCTGCACCTTTCAGTAAAGTATCATTGGTCAGAAATGGAAAGCCCAGTACTGCTAAAGCTCATATGACCAGTTACTGGCAGAGCCAGGGGTAAGAATTAAGGCTGCTGGGCTCCTTCACCAGCTGGGTTACTTCAGCTCAATAATAGATACTGAAATACACATAGCCTAATGATACAGGATTATAGTAACACACATGCATGTTTGTTATTAAACATGCATGTCTATTTGTTTATTAAAACCAAAGTAATTGGAGAAGACTGGAAAAGCATGATTGTTTAAGTAGGATGCCTCATTCTTGTGTATCATCTGGCTGTGTGGTTTCTTGTCCTAACTTGCCAATATCCATAAGAAAATCACCTCTGGGCATTGGTTTCTTTTCCTTTAAAATGAAAGATTAAATTTTTTATTTTCTCGGGCCGGCCCGGTGGCACACTGGAGAGTGCGCCGCTTGGGAGCGCGGCGGCGCTCCCGCCGAGGGTTCGGATCCCACATACAGACCGGTTCCCGCTCACTGGCTGAGCGCGGTGCGGGCGCAACACTGA